CCATTTAATATAATTGCGGACACTGGTTTAAAAAACTTAGCACAGTTTTTTATTTCTGTCGGTGCGAAACTGGGGAAAACGTCAATATTGACTCTTTACTGCCGCATCCCACAGCTATATCACGAAATATCGGTGCGCTCTATGTTTTTCACTTTAATAAAGTAAAAATCTAAATTAAAGAGCATAACCAATACGGATATAGCATAACTTCGGATATCTGGACAGACGATTTTTTTAAAGAATCTTATATTTCACTGACTATGCATTACGTCAAAGAAGGCACTCTTAAAAACCGCCTGCTTGCAGTGAAATCAATGGGTGGAGCCTCCTGTACCGGTAAGAAGTACAAAATGTTATTGGAATATATTATAAAATATATACATATATTATAAAAATTTTGTAGGTAATGAAATAAAAAACAAAATAGTGCGAATCTTACGTGACTTTGGATGTGATTTACTGATGGACGATCCAATAATTGTTACCGACCGAGGAGCTAACATGAAAGCGGCATTCAACGGACTGAGCACAATACACTGTGCAAACTTGTAAATGAAGTACCAGAATTGCAGGATATGGTTAATCAAATGTGGTCACATTAAGCTGGGTAGCGTGATTTACGAAATTATTAGTAACAACATTTGAATTTTGTCATCCTATTTATTACAAAGCCGGAAAGGTGAATATAAAACTTCGGTAAAACATTGTAACAACAATACAACCTCTGCAGCGGCTAAGTTAAAAAATTGGGAAAACGATCGCACCCGTGTGGGTTTAAATTGAGATTCAGAATTTATTGGCGGTTGTTGAACTTTTGGAATTAAAAACCTCGGATCCTGTTCGCGGAGAAAAAGCTTATTGGGTTATGCCGACGGCAAGCGGTTCATATGTCGGAGATTTAAGGCAACAACAATATATTGCAAAAAATATATTGCCAAATATACAATGGGCATGCATCAAAATGTGTAAGGGGATGTGTTGGCATAGTGGAACGTCGAGGAATGGACTATTCGGCGAACAGCGACAACTCCCGAAGCAAGTGTGCACCGGCTAGCCGATGTTAATAATGCTCTTTTTCCACAACAGAATTTCACAGTTCACTTCAATTTTTTTTGCACGTAAATATATGCACAAGTTTAGCATGCGTTTATGTATGTATGTGGCTGCACATTAGGCCTCTATCGTTGGGAAGTTGATGAACAATGGGGAACCAAAATAAACGGCGAGGAATCTGGCGGTCTACACAAAATGAACAGGGATGGAAAATTTTTATGATCGAAGATAAAGAGAAATATGAATGTCTCAACTGCCATTGCGTCAGGAAAACTCTTTCATGAAGTTGGCACGAACAATAAATTTATTAATTAATCGTGCATCAGTTCGACCTAAATTTAATGTTCGGATCGGCTGCAAGAAAGAGACGGAAGAAAGTTTGTACTTATCTTTAGCGAAACAAGTTACCGGGAACTGCTAATGGAAATCCGGAAGGATATCCGTATCCGTCTCGAATAATGCCCGATAAATTCCCTGGGGTCCAAAAATAACTATCGCGACGCATTCGAAAAATATGACCAGTAGAGGTTAGAAAAAAGTCGGGGGCGTCGTGGGGAATCGTAGCGTCAGCTTTGTTTCGCCGCACACGTAGTACTAAGCTTAAACATAAAGGCCGCGCTCTCGATCGATAACACAGTCGGACTTTCCTTCATGTGGTAAGCGATTCAGGATAGAAAACTATGTTGAGCAGGTATGGCCTTATGCATGGTCCCCAATTCAGCAAAGTGGCAAGCGCGCCATTCAGGTACCTAAATCAGAGTCTATATTTTGCAATATATTCAGGATGAACTTTAAACAAATAAAAATATAAATAAAGCTTACAAAGAATTTTTTGATGTTCTGCAGTGGTGGTCAATTAGTAAAGACCGTTTTCCTTTACTGTATCAAATTAGCTGCAAGATATTATCAGGCTCCCGCGAGTAGTGCAGCATCGGAAAGGGCATTTTCTGTTGCCAAAAATTTAATTTACGAAAAATGATCTAAAATTGCCACCACTGAAGACTTGGTAAATAAAATAATGTTTCTCCATTTTAATTTTTATAATTTAAATATAAATTCTTTAATAACATAAAATAATTATTATATCTATTTTTAAATCAAGTATTATTATTTTCTAAATTTCTAATTTCTTTATTTTATAATAAATACATTTGAAACGAAAATACAAATCAATTCTTTAATCGTATTCTTTCTATGACATACATAAACACGAGAATTCTATATGTGTGTATGTACCAGGCATCAAGTTTCACTCACTGTACAGTAAGTCAAGTGTACACCAAAACACTGTACAGTGCCTTGCTACTGTAAACCAATTTCGATGAACTCATCAAAAGCTATACAACTATGAAATGAGTGAGAACACTGTCAATCGAAACCGACAATACTACCCTACTCACTCACACCCAAATATACTGTGTAGAAAAAAAATGTGCCCACTTTTAGACTGAGTGATTCATTTGCCGTTTTGGATGCATTCATGCAGGAGTCTAATATCTATCCGAGCGTCTATGCCTACTGTATATCATGTATGTAAATGTCAATAATTCAGCTGTGAGTGCGAAGCCAACTGCTATTGTGATACCACTCTCTCGTTTGATAAGCCTATGTTAAGCAACCAAAGCTCCAATATATTCGGACCTAAGTTTTGTGAGCACACAGTTTAACAGGCTCAGTAGTAAAGGGCACAATGGTCTTATTAGGCCTAGGAAGTGTAATTTCTAAAGGCCCCTTTTTCTGATTTTAGCTTCGTACTTCCTAAAAACATACTCTGGCCAGGTACATCTTAGAGTCACGAAACAAATATTTGCAAAGAATTGCCAATATTTGCTTGTAGTCCGGGCCTGACACCCAAGAAGATTTCATGAACGGGGCTATGAGAGATCGTTGATTGAGACCCAGCATTGGATATTTTAGGCCAAAGTATATACATTCATGATCAGCAGTACCAGCCGAGACGATTTAGCCAGGTACAGGTACGTGCGGAACATCAGATTTCAAATATCAAACCTTGGACAAAATGTATATCTGTTTTCTGTTGTGGTAAAATAGTTGAGTAAAATAATTAATATACTTTGTTGTTTTTATTGTATTATATTATAATTCTGTGCATGTTGATGATCGGAAACTTCTGCATTTGAGGTGGCAGCACATATGTGTGTATGTGTGTTACGCAACATCTTTAAGCAACATATCTTCATTAACCGACATCCATGCTTCTTTTAAAGTCCAATTAAATGTATAAAAGAGCAGCTACTTTTCGTTTTGACGAAACAAAAACGCTAAAAAAGTATAACTATCCGCAAAAATTCATTCAGATAGCTCAATATATTCATAGCCGAGCAATAAATATTTTGGCTTTGTTCATTTGTTCTGTGTCTATTGACTATGAAACGGCTTGATTTGTTTTTTGATTTTCAAATCTTTTTCGTCTTGTTCCTTATCCATTGGGCCATGGTAATACGCTGATCAATATTTTTTGCTGGATTTCTTCTTTGTACTACGTACTCATTGTACTATGGCTCATATTAGCCGCTTTGCGGTTTATGGGCATATTTACTGAACAAAACACTCCTTAAAACAATAACTTCATGAAATACATTAAAGTTATAATGTATATTTAAGCTTTCAATGCCCCACATATACGGAAACAAAATTAATAAATTACGTGAAAGTTAGAGCTTTTTTAAGTGAACACAAAAATAATTGCCAAAAACCGAACTGTCAACAAACTTTCTTTCTTTTATCACTGATCTATTTTATTACTGCACTCATTATATAACACCGAAAGATGCCTGAGAGAAGGGAATAATCCATATCACGGAGTGGTATAAAAAATAGAGAGTAGCCGATTTTCAGACTTACTGATTATTCATGAAAAACTTCATAAAAATCGGTGAAGTCGTTTCGGAGAAGTATGGTAACCAACACTGTGACACAAGAATTTCATAATTCTAATATGTGCGTCATATATGCGTTAACTAACTAAGGGTGTGTGCCAAACAACAAATACTACTTTTAAATAAGTCCCTTAGGGGGAGACCATGAATAAGGCTCTTGTCGCTCAGGATATACAGATTTATGTGAGCGTGGGACTTCAATTAATATTTGGCTTATCTAAACTGAAAATATATTTTCTACAAAGTCTCAGTAAAGGTCATTTTACCTAAAACGTTTTACTGGCTCTAAAGTAGTAAAAATGTACTTCATTTGTTGAAGTTGTTGTCACTTTCAATTGTTTTTATCAAAGTTCCTAACTATATTGAAACTCTACCCTGCATATTTAACTATGGTATATTTTGTATATATGTCAGAGGTTCACTGAAATTCTCTGCGATTTTCTCAAGCGCAGTGAGTTCTTGTGTGTTTTCTTTTTGACAGATAGATGCAATCGCACTAGGTGACAGCAACTCTAACCTGTAACCTGCTACAACTCTATGCGAAAATTTCTAGTATGTCTTTACAAATAACTTAGGACTCCACTCCAAATGCAACTACCACCAGCATGTACACACTCATACGAATTAAATACACGCCGACATATAAATTAGTAAGCATAATAACGGATGTGTTTTTTCTTCTTGCGCTCTCGATTTGTATTTAAATTTTGCATAAACCACCGGGGTTTTAATTTAAATCTAATATCTTGTGTTTATTAATTTTCCGTTCAATTCGCGTGTGCATGCAGCTATTCTTATTTGTGTATTTAATTGAGTTTATGCCTCAATTTTAATTGTGCTGTTAGTGCTTGCTTTTCCATTTTATTTGTATTCCTCGTTTGCGATTTAGCCGTTGTCTGCGCTACGACAGCTAAACGTTGCTTCCCAGTCGGACTTTTTAGCAAAACTCACGCTGACTTTCATGCTTACCTTCGGCGGGTAGGACCCACCGAATATGTAAACCCAGTCGAAATTTTTAGCCAAATTCATGCTAACTTTCATGCTTACCCGTTCTGTGAGTAGGACCCACCGTTTGTGTAATGTTCTCATTCGCTTTTATTCATGCATGAGCATGGTAATTCATGATGCCGACGTCGCTGCTCGACCCTTACCGCGCAGTGGGGTAATTCATGGTGCCGCCGTCGCTTCTTGGCTCATAATGAAGTTCATCATGAGAGGTAAGGATAAAATTCAAGGAAAAATTTGAATTGCAAAAAAAAAATATGTATGTATGAAGCTTAGACTTTTTTACAAGCCGATTTTCTTTACATTTGTTAGATTTACATCTACATTTACATCTGTTACTACATTGAAGTAAATCATTTACTAGCATACTCACAAGCTTTTTTAGAATTTTATACGATCAACTGGGGATTGAACCTACATATGTCTTAATGTTTAACAGCCCGGCCGCTTACACATGGAGCCACGTAGACAACTAAAATTGCGTTGGCGATATACGACTTCAGCATTAAATCCAAGAGTACCCGATTGTGTCGCGGAAGTGCCCGTACCGCCGGTGATATCTGTATTGTGCCCTGCGGGTCCCAAATAATAACCCCTCGAAGCCCCGTAAATAAAATTTACACGCCCAGGGTGTTGGGCCCGGAATACTTGCCGACAATGGCGCAGCAGATAACCTTGCCAAAAGTTCCTGTAAATAAAGTTGAAAAATTCTAATTTTCTTATGCCAAGGACATTTCATATTTTATAATAAACGTCCCTAATGAACTCTTCCTATCAGAATGCAAGAAGCTTGCGTAGTAAGCTTCCTAACTTGTATTCTTATATTCCTCCGTTTGCTTCTTAGGTTTTTGTGTTCACAGAAACCTGGTTAAAGCCGGAGATTCTGAGCTCCAAAGATTTTTTAGTGGGGTGCAGTCCGTCAGAATTGCAAACAATCGAAGAAAGCAACGATGCACTATGGTCCAGCGGACCACTTTTCTTGGCCAAAACCCATTTTTTAAAGTGGTCAAAATGAAATGATTTTGCTCTCGATGAATTAGAAATAGAGTGACCATCCCAAAATGTTCATAGGTGGCGCCACTCTAGCGGACAAAGCCTTTAAAGTCAGCTGTTTGTACGCAGGACAACGGTTAGAGTGAAATTGAGTAAAAAATGGCAATTTCAAAATTACGAAAACTCGGAAAAACATACCGAACTGAACCAAATATTGTTTAAATTGGATAAGTAACGTTTGAACTACTTGTTTTGTAATGGGAAATGTTCGAAGCTAATCTGGTATTTTTGTAATTTGATGTTAAATTTTGTCTTCAAAAATATGTAACTTTTCATTAGGAACTTGTTTTTAAAAAGCTATACAAAGTGAGTCCCACCTAGTCCCACCTTGAGACCTATTGGGATTTGTTCATTTGCATGTAGTGAGAAATGCCACTTTTGACCACATTTCTTGGAATTTGCCTTAAAAGATCACCAAATGTTGTATGAAAATGCCAATCAAAAAGGTGAAACACTTATAAACTTATAGAAATACAATAAAATTGCTGGAATATAGTCATTCAGGTAGACAAATGACAAAACAAAATTTTTATATCGTAAAAACGGTTTATAATCCATTTTTCATGCAATTATAAGCAAAAACAATACTATATTTCGATTCTTTTAATGAAAACTATAGTAATTCGTTATCCGTTATTTTGATAAAATTTTGTGAATTTAGTTAAAATTAAATTATTTTTATGTAACCGAAGTTTTATGAATTTATCTCACAAATTTTTTTTTCTTTCCTATAACAGCTATACGATATAGTTTTCTGATCCTGAAAATTTTTATCCAGTATCATCCTATTAGTACTAAATTTCGATTGGGAAAGTTTCAAGTCGATATCTTTGAAATTATTATTATTATTATTATTATTATTTTGGCCAAAAAAAGTTGTCCGCTGGACCATAGTGCGATGTTGAATTTCTCTGTGTGAAGATATCTATCAATGCTAGCTCCATTTTTATTACCTGTTCCTACATACCTCCATTGTCGGAACGTCCTATTTATTGAAACCACCTTTCCGTTATTCAGATGGTTTCCAGTAGACTTTTTGATAGAGACCAGTTGGTAGGCCTAGGTGATTTTAATATCCCTGGGGCTATTTGGTCCTCAAATAATTCCACCAATACTCTCCCAACTTCTACACTTTATCGCAGCGACTGCACGATCTTTGTTTCGTCTGTGATCGGGCGAGAGTATTTGAGCCAGAGTGGCGCCACTGACGCAACCCGAAAATCCCTATTATTCTACTTTCGATGTGACATGGGGTCTGTATTACAGAATACATTTGATCGTCCTGCCAAAAAAGTCCTCGGATTTCGAAAGACGGACTTTTAACAACTGAATAATTTTATATACGAATTCAATTGGTCCGATCTATAAATGTGCACTGAAATGGCAGTTGCCGTGGATATTTTGTACAATGTCATGAGCTCATTTTTTACTGAATGTGTTTCGTTATACTATCCGCCAAAAGAGTTCAGCCGACTTAAAAATAAAAAATCTAGGCTGCATGTTAAATTTAAAATCAACGGTTCTCAGCTCGTTCATACTTTACCATGCCGAACTGCTTGTGTTATAAAAATTATTTAACTCGTTGCAGAGTCCAGTTTTCACAGGACCCAAAAGGGTTTTATAATTTTGTTAACACTAAGCGTGAGCCTAAAACTAATCCCTCCTCGCTTTCATTTGAAAATATAACCGCAAATAATAATCAGGCAATAGCCGATCTATTTTCGCAGTTTCTTCAAACAACTCATTCAAACTTTTCGAATTTACATCAAACTTATTTTTACGACATACCCAAATCAAACTAAATTTTCAGTCCTAGCCAAACCGCTATAAGGGCTTTTGGCAAGGCAGATCTGCCGTGCCATTGTCAGCCGGTATTCCGAGCCAAACACCCTGGGCAGATATATCAGTATTCACGGTTCTTTGAGGGGTCAATACTTGCGACCGCCCAGGGGACAAAACAGAATTCACCGGCGGTACGGGCACTCCCGCTGCACATTCGGGTACCGAATCTTTTCTAGCGCTCGATCTCAGCACTCTTGAAATTAATGCTGAGGTCGAGGGCTGTGGCGAGGGCGGCTGCTGCTGATAGCCCGTAGCAGGTAGTTGGGGTCCATCTACATGCTGCCCACCAATAGCAGTTTTTTTTTGCACCTCGGAGACTCATTTAAAAGCGAAAGATTATTAAATTTGGTGTACAGCGCCAAGAACATTTCAAGCGTTTGACAAAAACTCGATAAAATGCCCTTAAAACCGTTTTTGGTTTTCCGCATGAAAGACATCATCTCCCTTTCAACATCGCGACAGGCCTCGCAGCATTAACGCAGGCCGATTTTGTTTCACATCGTCCACCGTCCGAGCTGCAACACAGCAGCACAGCCAGCAGCCGATTGCAAGGTCCCTGCAGAAACAGACTTTGGGCAGGTTTTGGCGAAACAAACAATATTTGCGAACATTATTAACATTATTCTCATTGCCACTGTACTTGAGAAAATAACAGAGCTATAAAGATAATAAGTGAAAAGTCACAGCGAGAGCAAGAGAGAGGGAGAGCGTGGGAGATCAGATAAGATAAGAACTGCAGAGGCACAGCGAAAGCGAGAGAGTGGGAGAGCAGATAAATAGCAAAAACGTTTAGCTGTCGCGACGGCGCAAACTAAAGCTAAACGAAAAAGGCACAAAAAGGAATGCAAAATATGCAAAAGCTAGCACTAGCAGCACAACTAAATTGGGAAATAAAACTATATACACAAATCAGACGACGCGACGTGAACGGGAAGAAAATTTAAGTTAACCCCAGTGGTTATTTGTAAACTTTAACACAAAACGAGAGCGCAAGAAAAAAACACGCCCATCCACTTGGAAAGATGAAGCTTTGCGTGCGTTTCGTCGTCGGAATTACAAACGGGTCTTAATCATTTTCAAAAATAGTGCCGCATAAACTTATTAAACTTAAACGGCTCCAAATGCAAATAACATGCTCTCGTGTCGTTCCTGAGCTTGCTACTTATCATTAAAATAAAAACGAAAAAAATTCTAGAATAATACAAAATGGCTATGACTCAAACTTGATGAAAATCTAAAAAAAATGTGAATGTAATAATAATAATAATAATAATAATAATAATAATTTTTTTTTTTTTTTTTTTTTTTTTGGGTTGAGGAGGGGGAATGCCTAACGCATCTTCCCTATTGCCGTCGCAAAAAAAAGGTATGTGGGGCTCGCACCCACTAAACCCCCCCTCGCATTTGGCCGTGTTCCCACCTCGGAGCAGCTTTCGCATTACTTCAAGGTGGCGCCAATTCAGCGCAATGCGCTCTCATCTTCTTTCTGCGTCCAGATTACCCAGTTAATTCATCCAGATCTTGCTTCTTAGATCTGAGAATGTTCTGCACGAATCCTGCGATGTGTTTCCACGTGTCTTCGCTGCCTATCATCTTCGTGACCATATTTTCTGGGTTTATTGCCCCAACAGCTTGTTCCAGGCAGTTCCGCGCAGGTCCGAATTTCTTACAGTGGAAAATGGTGTGTTCAGCACTGTCCATCTCCGCATCTCCATATACGCATCTGCCGTTGGTTCTTTTCCCTATAGAGTGCAGAAAGGCGGCAAAGTAGCCATGGCCTGTCAGCATCTGCGTGACGTAGTAATCCACATCTCCGTGTTTCCTTCCGTACCAAGCTACCAGGTTTGGTAACAGTCTAGCTGTCCATCTTCCCCTTGCTTCGGCTGCCCATCTTTCCTGCCATTGTTGGAGAATTACTTCTCTGGTCCGCTCAATAAAGCCTCTTGTCGTCTCTCCTTCCTGTCTCCTCATATATATTTGTTTTCGCGCTTTGGCCAATAGGTCGATTGGTATGGCGCCTGCAATTACTAGTACAGCAGGGCCTCAAGTAGAGGTTTTGACCTGCAGGTTGCCTCAAGGGTGCCTGCCCAGACCTCACACCCGTACAGCATGATTGCGTGATTTATCTCCATTAAGAGTTTCCGCCTTGATTGTAAGGGGCCGCC